CTGCCCCCCGCAGGCAGCCGCTCCGCAGCTCCTCTCCTGTGCCAAGCAGAGGTGACCGCTGCTGGTCAGATGTGCACGGGGCCGCGTGCCAACCTGCCAGCGCTGCTCCCAGGGAGCGGCCGCGACACATGCAGAGCACAGCCTCGGCACCGCACCAGCTGGTGGTCAGCACAGCACTGCCAGGAGCAGTCAGGACCCTGCCGACCTCCGACTCCCTGTACAACTGCTGCTCAGCACAGAAAGCTTCCTGACTTCAGTACCATAAAAGCATAAAACTCGGCTAAATAAAAGGTTGTTATGGTGGAAGCTGTAATTGTGCTGCAGGAAGGGAATTAACTGAACAGCAATGGCCCTGAGCCCTGCTTGCACTGAACTGCAGCAGCCCGAGACCCCGTCAGCACGGCAGCGATGAGTCACCGCGCACTGCGTCCCCCAAGCCACGAGGCTGCAGTCCCCGAGCCCCGCGCCAGGAAACCCAGGGCTGTGGTGTCCCCAGCTGCATCATTGCACTTCAGCAAAAGCAGGACGAAGCATTTCCATCCGTTGGCCTTGCAGAGGCGGCACTGCCGGACAGGAGGGAACCCGGCTTTCCTGTGCGCTCTTCCCCTGTCCGAGCACCACTGCCACTCGCCTCCCAAGTGCGGGGCCTGCTGGCCACCAGTGCTCCCCTGCAGCATTTAACTCTCCAGGCAGTTGGAGACGTTACCTCCAGGCCTTCGTGTCGCCCGCCCTGAGGGACAGGTGGCTGCTGTGGGGCTTTCTGCAGCGACACAGACACACACCGAAAACGTGGCAGTGGCCCGAGCGCCGGCACCACCACACAGCACAGTGCGGTTAGACCTGGCAAACGGCCAGGCTGCTTGTCCCCGTTACGGCAGAGGTGCGCATGCTGCGCTTACCCCGAGCTGAACGCCTGTGAGGGCACTCGGACAGCGTGGCCCCAGGGCCAGTGCCTGGCTGCTCGCTGTCAGCCCCGCTCTCCCCGCTCGCTTCAGAGGGGCATGGGAAGCAGTTTGATAGCTTGCCAGCGCTCACTCAAGGTTGCCGACACCTCTTTGTTCTGCCACCTCCCAAAACATTCTGTACAAGGCAAAATCCCATCTACAAATACAGATGCGCCTGTGCCGAGGTGGCATGTACGCTCTTGGCTGCCCTGCAACGAACTGCGCAAAGCGCCCCAGGGCTGGAAGCCGACACTAGCTAACAGAGGACAGGGTTTAAAAACAAGGACTCCCAATTCCCACCCTGATTTCGAAGGGCCCAAGGAAGGTCACGGAGCCCTCGACAGCAATGCTCAGCAGCTCGCTTCAGCTCCCAGATCGGAGGCAGCGGCTCAGTCCCCCGGGGGGCAAGAACAGATTAATTACCATCTGCAACGGTTTGCACCAGCCAAGAAACTGCTAACTACCCACAGCCACTGGCAGTGGCCCCACACCCCCAAGGTGGGAGAGCACCTGGAAACACTTGCAGCCTGTTATTGTTTGTTCTCATTCCCCTGCCTTGGAAAACTAATCTGCTGCTAACTCAGGAGGGCTCAGGAGACAGATAAGCCAAAAGGCAACCTTAATAAAGAACAGAACAAAACGAGAAACTCTGAGTTACAGCCCGGAGCTATCGACCCAGCGATATGCAAACAGAGCTTGCAGCAAACCACATCCCATCCGAGCGGTGCAGGCGCCAGGGCAGCATGGTGCAGGGTGCTGCAGCAGCGGTGCCACGGGGCAAGGACAGCGAACCTGGACCGCCGGGCGGGCCGCCCCCCTCCCAGCCGCAGGCGTTCCTGCTCGCTGCCACTCCTCTCCAGGAGACGGCAGCGCCCCAAAGCCCCCAGGACCATGCTGCCCCGCCAGCCTGCACCCGCCCCGGGAACAGCCCTTAGCCTTGGCCATCCTGACTACGTCAAAACGCTAATTCAGCACTCACCGTTCCTGCTCTCCCTGCATTTTCGGCATGCCGTCTCAGTGCTGTTTGTGATGGGAGTGAGCCCCAGTCTGGTTGCTCTGTGCCGGAGGGCACCAGTGCTGGCACAGCACCTCAGCATGGGCAGCAGCCAAGCTGCCCTGGGGCCCTGCACAGCCCCCCCACTTCTCACGTGGGGCAGTAAATCACTCATCCGCCTGCAGCTTTCTGCCCTCGTGAGGGAATGACAGCCATTCCTTGCCCAGCCAGGCCCCAGGGAGTGAGCCCCAGTCTGGTTGCTCTGTGCCGGAGGGCACCAGTGCTGGCACAGCACCTCAGCATGGGCAGCAGCCAAGCTGCCCTGGGGCCCTGCACAGCCCCCCCACTTCTCACGTGGGGCAGTAAATCACTCATCCGCCTGCAGCTTTCTGCCCTCGTGAGGGAATGACAGCCATTCCTTGCCCAGCCAGGCCCCAGGACAGATGGGTACAAGCTGTATTTACTGCACGGATTTAGGAAGGAGGGCAGGTCAGGTCCTGTTCCCTGGCCTGAGGACAAATGTCTCCACTCTGGTGGGCAGAGCCCAGCCTTCCCCCCTCCCCGACACGGCCTCCCAGTGCTGCCACAGCAGTTGGGATGTGCCGGCAGACAGCAGCTGGAGAGCTGGCCACTGGGAGAAGAATGGTCCAGCGGGTGGAAATGCACCGGTGGGGCCGGGGCACAGCCCCGCCGCCACCCCCATGGAGAGCCAGGACTCACCATTCTGAGTCAGCTTCGTGGAACAGACGAGCGTCGAGATTTGGAAGCTGTCCCGGGCTGACATGGTTAAGCCCGACGTGCCCCCGCTCACACGGAAGGAGGAGCCGGAGAGGAGCTTCGGCTCCGACAGGTTCCTCACGGAGGGCAGGGTCAGGTACGCATCGGCGTCCTCCAGCTTCCTGCTGGAGCCCTGCAAGGCAGAGCACGGCTCACACCAGGCAGCGCAGCCCCACGGGAGCCCCATGGGACAGGGCTGGCCCGTGGGCTCGGTTTTGACCCCACTTCAAGTCCCCTGTCCGGGGGACTTTGCCGTGCAGAATGGGGCAGAGCAAGGAGGTCAGCAGAGCCATACACAGGTAACAGTGGCTCCCACCTAATGGCATCCTTATGGTTTGGTAGCCTCTGGCTCGTGGGTGTCACTGGGATGCGGGAGCTGGCCCAGGGGAATCACTGCCTGCAGTGCAGAGCCCTGTGCAGGCAGTGCAGCGGGCTTGCCTGACATTAATTTCAACAGAGCATCCAACAAAGCTGTTCCCTGCGGGGCTCCGCGGGGACCTGTGCTCAGCTGGGACAACCGACCAGGAGAGATGCCAAATCCTGGCCAGGGCCACTCAGGGAAGACACAAGAACTGGCAGGAGGAAAAGCACATGGGGAGGCCAGTGACACAGAGGAGCCTGGGGCCAGGCAGCAGCGTGCCAGGAATGAAACATGTTCCTGAGCACCGCTGCGGGGATGGACACGCAGCAGGACACTGACCAGGCAGCTGGCGTGGTCCCGCAGCGTCACCATCATCAGCCCAACGGGATGTTTCCTGCCCGCGTGGGCACGCCGGGGTCTCTCTCCACGGTGGCAAAACAGCCTATTTCTTTGTGTCCCTACTCTTAAGTTGAAGAATTAAGACGACGTTACATCTAGGACTCACTGGGGTGACTTTCTAAATGATCCTTCTGTGCTCGTTTGCAAGACTGGGACATGGTGGATGTCCAGAGATGGCCGGACACATGACAATGGACCATGGCCGTGCCGCCCCGAGCTCACCAGCACTTGCTTATGGCTTGGCATTTATCCTTCCTTGCCTGCAACCTTGCACAATAAAATTCTTCCTGCTGCAGATCACAAAATTGTTTGTTGTTGGCTTTTCTCTCCACTGAGCGTACCCACAGTGGCCAGCTGACTTGCAGGAGGCACTGCACTTCTTCTGAGGGCAACTAAGCCCTCATAGGGTAAACTGGCTTAATTTCAGATGTTTCTCGACCAGCATGAGATCAAGAGGTCCGAGGAGCTAAAAGCCTATAATTCACATTCCTCTGGCAAACAAAAATAAAAAGATGAAATAGCTTCTGACTCCCAGAATCAAGCCCTGGTGTTTGCTGGGAAGAGCAGGAGTCAGCTGGGGAGAAGACGAAGCAGAGCATGCCAGCTTTCCTTGCTCAGGGGTGGAGGATGCTCGTGAACGCGATGGTTCAGCGACGGCAGCAACAATCTTTTAAGGAGAAAATGCATCCAGGAGAGAGGGGCTCAGGGTTTGATCTCGCTGCCCCAGCTGGCACCGGCAAGTCCCGAAGGCGCTCGGTGCTCCCCCCACCGTGCGGGCTGCGGAGGGGCAGTCCCCCGGAGAGCCAGGGACAGTGTCTGCAGCTCTGCAGGCCATGGCAGCATTTAAAGAATTTGAGTGTTTTGCCCAAAAAGAACAGGGAGGAGGGACACGATAACAATTCCAAACTGTTATAGGAAGAAAATTAACTCTATCCCAGCTGAAACCAGGACAGCATAGGAGCTGCTGGGGAAGAAAAGCGTGGCTCTGTTCCCGTCCCCAGGCTGGGCAGGGCAGGGCACGCGGGCTCGCTGCAGGAGCGAGGTCGGGCATCACAAGAGCGGTAGATGAGGAACAGTAACGGCAGCACGGCACTGGGACAGACCAGCCCGGCGGGTGGGGGCGAGTCCGTCCCATCAGCAGAAGCATGCCGGAGCAAGGACGGCTCGGGGAGGACTGGTCCTGCCTCAGGGCAGGAGGTGGATGGGGCAGCCCCGGTGTGGATGGACAGATGGACAGCAGAGACCTGCAGGGGCACGTGGGTGACTCAGCCCCCAGCAGGGCAGCTATGTGAGCGCAGAGCAGGAGCGCACCGGGGTGACACCGCATCAGATCCACAGCACAGTCCTCTGACGTGGGATGACGGTGAGCACAGCAGTGTGCTGGCAGCAGCCCATCTGCTGGGGCACCTCTGCTGCCGGGACATTATGTAGCTGCAGAAGCAGTATCGGGGTGCTAAGAGGGAAACGCGGTGATGAAGAGGAGGAACTCCTGATCAAGCTCATGGGAAGCGTTAGCTGAGGCCAGCTGCACAGCTGCCACAGCGGGCAGGAGGCAGATCTGCTCATCCCAAAAAGATGCAGGACTTGGGAAGGGAGAGGGGTCTACATCGAGTAACGGGTCACATCTCCAGGAACAGCAGGGAAAATTAGAGAAAACTTCAGTTAAATACCAGAGCAGCAAAGGGGCTGAGGTGGGAAGGTCACCTCCTGGGGAGGCTGGAGCTTCATTGTCGGTGAGGAACACTAAAGCGGTGCCAACACACAGAGGAAGAGTCCTGAGCTCACCCTTGCAGCAGGGACCAGCTCGTACCTCCCAGTCCCCTGGCCACAGCCAGACACAGTGTGGGAGAGGGGGACACCAAGGCAAGGGGGGAGCAGCACGTTCACGGGGTCTTTCACACTCCGGCGTCAGAGCCGACTGCATTTTTTCCAAATGAACAGTGCATTTTCCCTCCTTGTGTTCTCTCTCTGCTCTCTCAGAAGAAAAACCAAGCAGTTTTAGGCAGACAAACCCTGGTGAAATCAGGTAAAGTGCAGCAAATATCTTCATGGGGACGTTCCCTCCCAAGTCAGATAAATTTAAGTTACCATTTTCTAAACAAAACTTGTCATTTGCAAAGGAACAGCGTGGAGATTAGAGACACCATGTGCAGGGAGCCGTGGGCAGGAGCCCACCATCAAGGACAGAAAGGATGGGAGGGAGGGACTGGAAACCCTCCGGGGGACTTTGGGTACGTGCCACCAGTGCGGCAGCTCCAGCAGGGACTGGGACCCCAGCCCTGCGCACCAGGAGAGCTGCCATCCTGCAGCCTCCCCGCTGGGAGGGGGGGTTTGCCTGGCCCCCCCATACCTTGTACAGAACCAGGTCGTGCTCCCCATCACGCAGCGTGGTGCCGTCCGGTCGCATCAGCTTCACAAAGGCCATGGAGAAAATCCGCTCGCTTTTGTCTTTGTTTGGGAGAGACAAACACAGGGCGAGGTGAAGCCGGCTCAGGAGAAACCCGAGGACGCACCGCGTGGGCAGGGAAAGATTGCCCTTTCCCGGCAGCCGGAACGGGTCGGGGAGGGGGCTGCCGGGGAAATCATATTTCTTTTCCTGGAGCCCGGAGCCCACAGGCTGTGCCCACACACAGTGAGACCCCCGGGGCACTCAGGAGAAGTGGTTGCTGCAGCCGTTTGGGAACCTTGGAGGGGGAGAGAGGGGAGAGACGCAGTGATGAGCCGATGCGTGGCCAGAGGAGCCGCCGGCTGCCCACGTGTGCTGCCCGGGCAGGCAGCCATCAGAGAGCTGCCTCTGCGGGAACAAGACAGGCTTGGGGCAGGCAGGGGTTTGGGCAGGGAGGGGGTGGGGTGGGGAAGGTAGGGTTTGGCTTGGGCAGGATGAGACTGCCGAACAGCAGCCTCAGCTGCAGGTCTCCGCAGTGGCCCTGGGGAAGGTCCCCACACACAGCAGGACGTGCTGCACCATGTCTCATCATGTATGAGACATGGTTTTCAGCTCTGCAAAGGCACTGACCACAGCAGTCCTGCGCTGGGAGCAGCCCGTCCTCCTGGCCGCATGCCACAGCCCATGGCCCTGCTGCAGCCAAAAGCCATGGGGTGCGGAGTGGGTGCTCCGGAGAGCCAAGCGCAGGCACCCAGGGAGCGGCTGGCCGCAAGAGGCAGCCGTTTCCCAGAGGTCTGCTGCCTCACCACGGGCAGCAGGTACAGAGCGGAACAGGGGGGACAGCTTCCTTCCTCCAACACGTGAATCCAGCATCCCTGATGTATCCCCACACGGTGCGAGACAAGGGCCACTCGTGGGGCCCTCCTGTTCCTGCAGCCCCTGAGCTGCAGACAGCCCACCTCCATTGCAGCCCTTGCTAGGAACGTTAGCAGAGAAAGATCTGAAGAAAGGAGATACTTACAGTCACTGGAGGAGCGATGCCGGAAGGTGAATCTCAGGTGGGTCTTGTGGACGTCTTCAATGGGAACAGCAATCTGAGAGAGAGAATGTGTGCCATCATGAGGACAGGAGGGCGCGGGCTGAGTGACCTGGCTAGCCAAGAACCCCTGTGCTTGGGCAAAGGCTGTGCTGAACTGTCAGTTGCTTAAATCCAAACCCACGTGCTTTCCTTTCAATTAATAAGGCTGAATTGGAGACACAGGTGTCTGTGAAGGGCCAGTGGTGTACGTCCATGAGCCCGCAGGGAGAGGCAGGAGTGATGCAGGAGCACCGCTGGCAGTGCAGCGTACCCGGAGCCCCTGCCCCAGCACTGCTCGTCGGCAGGGGCAGCAGACATCGCCTCCCTGCTGCAGGTCTCCCTGGTTCTCCATCCAGGGGTCAAGCCATGACACCAGCAGCATCTCGCATCCTCCCCGAGCCAGGGACTTTGCCCCCTGAAAAGCCAGCCCTGATGGGGAGTCCCCTCCAGCAGCTCGGTCCTGCTGCGTGGGGGGAGCGAGGGGTTGCAACCCCAGTCCCACCTCAGTCCCTGCGCCCCAAGGCTGGTACAGACCTTCACTGTCTCCATCCACCGCTGGTGCCGCTGCTGGTAGTAGACCACAGAGCGGTACTCGCTCGCCGGCTTGTCCCCCACACCGTGGTAAATCACGTTCTGCGGAGAAGGCAGCAGCAGAAGAGACGCTTCGTGGTCAGATCAAATAAACTCAAAGGGCTGAAGAATTTTGCATCCCCTGCTAACCTGGACCAGCCCCCCAAGCCACTCTCCCCTGCCTACGCCACGGCAGCCCCCACCCGAGCACCCCCGGCACAGGTGCCCCTTTACAGCAACCCAGCCGGCACGGGGACATCTTTCCAACTGTCCCTTCCCAGCCAGGCTCAGAGGGGCAGCAAAAAGCTTCCCCGTCCCCGTCCCCATCCCCTCCACTTCCACCAGGCCTGGTGCAACCTCTAAAGGGAGCCAGCAAGGGACACGCGGCCCCCCGGGGCACGGTCATGGCTTGGCTTCCATTGCCCTGTGGGAAGGGCATTATCAGGGACAGAGGAGGAGGTGGGGGCTGCGCTCCCAGACCAGCCCAGCAGGACCCTCAGCAATTCACAGCCTGTTCCTCGGGGGCCAGGTGAGAATTGCGTTTGAAATGAAAGCAAACACCCTGGAGAGAGAGAGACAAGGCAACAGCCAGTCCTGGGGCAGGGGG